ACAGATACTGACAATCTTCCACAGGAGAAACAGGTAATCCACAATTTATGACCCACAGTTGAGCCCAAAATTTCCATTGCTAAACGAAACAGTCGTTAAACAGCAATAGCACTTAGACTTATATACCGCTTCACCATGCTTGGTAACCCTCTCTAAGCAGTTTACAGAGGCAGCCTCTTGCCAACAATCTGGGTCCTTTTCTTGCCACAGTCGTTAAATGAATCCTTGTAGTTATTAAATTGATAACATAGTTGTTAAGGGAATCTGATTAACAGATAACAGATAATCAGACTTGGAGGGGACCTTGTAGGTCATCTAGTCCAACCCCTCTGCCGGCCCAAGCGGGAGACCCAAGCGGTTGCAAAAGGTGTTATCATGCCACCCCGGGGACTTTGCATCCATCATAAATGAGTCAGTTGCCAAGCACCTGAATTTTGATGACGTTGACCATGGGCATGCTGCAATGGTCATTAAGTGTGAAAAGTGGTCATAAGTCTGTTTTGTTACAGTGCTGCGGTAATTTCGAACGATCACTAAACGAATTGTTCTGAGTCGAGAGATATATATATGCCCTATGAAACTGAAGGCTGTTTAACAAATGTGCAACAAAATGTGCAACTTTCAAGATGTCACCAAAAACACCTCTTCACAGTGTGTTTTCAGCTACTTTTCCGAACGGATTCAAGTTCAAATCCCAACAATTTCAAGCCACTTTTAACTGATATTAAAACCAATAAGCTGTTTTCTCCTAAATAAGTCTACCTTTCGTATTTTTGAACCTTGTTTACAACCAATATTACCGATGACAATGGTCAATGGCTGGATCCTCTAACTTTACAGTGTTTCCCCAAAATAAGATCGGGTCTTATATTAAATTTTTGCTCCAAAAATCATGCTGGGCTTGTTTTCCAGTTGGGTCTTATTGTCAGGGGAAACAGGGGTAGTTAAAACTGCATCACCTCTAGAGGGGAAGGGGGAGAAGGCCACGCAAAGTATTGTTCTGACGGATATACTTTTACACGATGACCGCTTTGAGTCAAATATTCTGCAAATAGCAGCTTATTGAGTCAGCTTCATAAGACCAGGAACGTTCTATCAAGTTTCAAATCACTCATATATTTTATTGTAGTTTAGCCTGCCTTAATTAGGAGCAACCGAGTCCATGGAAATAAACACCGAACAGAAGGAGGGAGGGGGGGGAGCCAACTAATCAAAATAGGCATTAGAAAAAGAAAAGAAAAACCCTCTCCTAAGCACTGAATAATGACGCTTTGTTCTCACCTGCAGTCCTCCAGAGAAGATTTAGCGCTTAGTATATGGATAGATAGGAGGCTGAGCCTTTCTATTTTAATTTATATAATTAATGTATTTTACTTTATATAATGCAGGCACACGATTACTCTAACCAGATATAGCCTGATGACAGGGAAAAAAAATCTGATATAAGTTTAGAGAAGATGCGTGCTAAAGTGTTTCAGTTAATGCATGTTGTCCTGAACTTACAACCATTCATTTAGTGATGGTTCAAAGTTACAACGGCACTGAAAAAAGAGACTTATGAGCCTTTTTTTTCAGACTTATGACCATTGCAGCAGCATCCCCATAGTCACAGGATCAAAATGTGGACAACTGGCAGAGTCCCAGGGTCACTTGATCCCCTTTTGCGATCTTCCGACAAGAAACGTCAACGGGGAAATCAGGTTCATGTGACTAATTTAACAACTGCAGTGATTCACTTAACAAACTGCAGCAAGAAAGGTCGTAAAACGGGGCAAAGCTCACTTAACACCTGTCTGGCTTACCAACAGAAAGTTTGGACTCAATTGTGGTCTTTACTAAGTTAACGACTGCCACGTTTCACTTAACAAGTGTGGCATGAAAGGTCGTAAATTGGGACATAGCTCACTTAACAACTGTCTGGCTTAGCAATGGAAATGTTGGGCTCTATTGTGATCATTAAGTCGAGGACTAGCTATTGAGGGCAAAGGCATGGTTACCACTCACTTTTTATAGGGGTCCCACAAAACAGGTTGTTTGGGGGCACAGCACCACCTAAGAAAAACGGGTACACAACATTTGCTTCCAGGAAATACCGCAAAGCCACTCCAGTAGCTTTTGTTGTCGTTAAAATTATGGGTAAAAACAGCAGTCAAAAGCAGCCTATAAATACAAGATCCCAAAGACGCTTTTTCCAAAAGGCAACTGGAGTTTCTTGTTTTATTCCTCCTTTGGAAACATTTGCCTTCTCATCCCAAAAGTTTGAGCAGGGGGTTGGGCTAGAACAGGGGTTGCCAACCTTTTGGACCTCAGGGACCACCAAACTCATCATTTTTAAATCCCAGGGACCACTAACCGGTTCTGTGGACATGGCCTAATTTGTGGGTGTGGCTTGGTCATGTGACTGGCTGGGCATGGCCTGTATGTAAGTATTATAAATATTTATATAAATATTGAATTTTTTATTTTTTTTAAAAAAGAGCAACTTTTACCCAAAATCAGGCAAAGCAGGCAGGCAGATTGAGTTGCTCACAGAATCATTCCGTGATCTATCTATCTGCCATCGGCTAGCTCAGTCTATCACATAAAATTTGCTTGCCGTGAGTCTGCACTGAATAATAGAACCTTCTGTCCTAAGGGAGGTTCGGCTGTGCTTAAAAGCAGAGCCGAAGCTCTGAAGATTAGCTAGAAAGCAAGAAATGCAACGATTTCCTGCTTTTTAGCTAATCTAAATCTCCCGGCACAGCAGAACAGCTGATGGTCGGAAAAAGGAAAAACAGCAACTTAGCAGGCAAGTTTGCCAGTGAATGGGTGGGAAGGGCTCCCGCGGGCCATATGGGCGGTGCAGCCTTGTGTTCCCCCGCAGCCTGGATTAATTGCTTTGGGGCGGTGCTCTGGGGGTGAGATTTCTCTGCGGCCCACCAAAATTTTCTCATGGCCCACCGGTTGGCGACCACTGGGCTAGAAGATCTCCAAGGTCCCTTCTGTTATTCTGCTTCTTCAGTTCTAACTGTTCTAACTTCAATTAGAACTGAAGAAGCTTCTTAGATGAGAAGCAAAAAGGGTTTCAAAGGGGGGAAAAAACCCAAGAAAGTCCAGCTGCATTTTGGAAAAAGTTATTTAGGGACAATCATGACTTGGATGGTTGAGAATTTCCGTAGACATTAAAAATACGAGGGATTGAAGTCATCCTCTTCCCAAACATATGGGAAAGTAAGTGAAAGCCTGAAAGTTTATTAGTCTCTTCTTTGTGAGGAACACAGATGGGATTCCACAGGAACATATACACACATATACATGTACGTGTACACACACACACACACAGAGATAGATAATCCTTGACTGACAGCCTCAATTGAGCCCAAAATTGCTTTTGCTAAGCGAGACATATGTGAAGCGAGTTTTGCCCCAGTTTATGACCTTTCTTGCCGCCATTATGGGAATCACTGCAGTTGTTAAGTTAGTAAAAATGTTGGTAAATGAATCCGGCTTCGTTGTTGACTTTGCTTGTCAGAAGGTCGCAAAAGGGGATCATGTGACCTCCTGGGGACACTGCAACCTTCGTAAATATGAGCCAGTTGCCAAGAGTCCGGATTTTGATCACGTGACCATGGGGATGCTGCAGCTGTCATAAGTGTGGGGGGAAAAAAGGTCCTAAGTCACTTTTTTCAGTGCTGTTGGAACTTTGGTTACTAAACAAACTGTTATATGTCAAGGACTAGATAGATGATGGATAGATAGATATAGAAAATAGATGAGATAGAAAGATAGAGAGATAGATAGATAGATAGGATGAAAGATAGATATGATAGATATAGAAAATAGATGATAGATGATATAGATAGATAGATAGATAGATAGATAGAT